AAATTAATTCTAACGATATCTGTGCGATTAATCGAAAATGACCGAAGACGATATCAATTTATCGATGCAGTTGTGAGAAGGTTCAAATAATTCTTTTACTTTAAAGGGCCTCTTCCCGTCTGTCCCATTTGCATGTTCGATATATGCAAATAAAATAAATGCAAAAAAATGCAAAAAACGAGCCAAAAAACAATTTACACTTATATAGCGTATTTATAAACAAATTAATACTTTAAGGGGCTTCTAAGAGAGGTTTCTAATGGACACTCATGATCAAGAATTATTTATTTTTTATAGACATTGATTTTTTAACGGGAATACATCAAAATAGACTTTTTTGGTGGTGTGGAAAATAATGCAATTTCTTAGATTAACTGAAAAAAAAATAAAGCAGCCTGTTAAATGGAAATTTTTCCTGATTTTTTTTATGGTAGTTTTCCTTGAATTAAATTAATAGGAAAAATATAATATATTTTTTCTCTAAAGAGGAAAGGGAAAGTTTAAGGTGTACAGATAAAATTGAATTCCTAGCTTGACATCTTCTACCTTCTTTGCATTTTTCCCTTGCAGGTCAAAACTCCCCGCAGAAAATTTTAATTTAATAAAAAAAAAAATTATATTCAACTAAACACTAAAGTCTAAACTTGCTATGTTGTATGTATTTGACAAAATCCGTGCCATTTTATTTTTCAAAAATGAAAATAAAATATCTAAAATTATTGTTGGATTAATATTCATTTTCATTTTTTTCGCGGCGGACCAGTTTAAATTAAGAAAAGATTAATTAAACTCCATCAAATAATTTTGTTAAAAACCCTTTAAAGAAATATCCTATTAGAAGTAAATGTTCAATAGGAAGGAAAACTTTTCCAAATTGCAATTTTCTAAAAACTGCGTTTGTATCTTTTAGTTTAGGGATTCAGGGATTGTATATAAAATAAATGATTTGCAAAATATGTTGAATAAACAGGATTAAGTAGGTTTAGCCAAAGTTCTATTAAAGAACGAAAGTTTTAAAAAATCAACGGGAAATCAACGAACCAAAAAATTGATCGACTGAACAATCTAAAAGTTCGTTACTTTAATTTACCGAATGGATTAAAAAAGTAAAACTCAAACATTTGGAAATAAAAAAAAACATTTTGCGCAGTTCCCATGAACATTCCTTATTTTGCCTGCACAGATGATACAATAGAAAAAAGAGAAAATACAAAATGTTTAAAGGAATTGATTCTCCGTCACAAACTCTAATTTTCTAAGCTCTATATCTGTGCAAGCCAATGTGTTTGGAGACCTTTACTATTTCAAACTATGAATTCTGCTAGGTCAAATAATTTAAGTTTGAAATATCTATGGTTTTTACCATCAGGTCGCCCATCTATTGGGGTTAGAAAATTTGAATTTGTGACAAAGACTCAATTCCTTTGATTTTTGTTTGTTTTCACTCGCTTCTCCTAAATATTTAGGTGTAAGTTTAGCATTCGATATTTTTCTATTCTTAAGCCAAGAACTTTTGATTTAAATATTCCTAATAATTTTCTAAATAGTTTATTCGAATAAACTAAAACCAACAGACACTTTATTATTCCTTTTCTAGCTGCCTTTGATGATGACAAACACTTATTTAAAGAAACTCAAAAGTAAGTACTTTCAAATGGCTCTCCAATTTGAATTGAACATTTTTTATATGGAGGGTTGCTTACGCCTACTTTCCTCTTAGATATTTTACTGCCTTTTTCAAACTTCTACATTATTTCTATTACAATAATTATAATCAAACCTATCATGCATTCTTATTACTACTAGCTACTAGTATGTTTATCACTATGCTCAAAGTTACGTTTTTAATTTTTGATGTTTTTTTTGCGCATTTTTATTAGAAATCGGGAATTCTTACATATTGTTCTTTGAATCGAACATTATAGACCAAACACAGTTTGAAAAAGTCTACTTTATAATCTACGATTTAGTCATTTCAGATTAATCTGCCTTTCCGCAAATTCAGATATTCTAAATGTCAATTCCTTCTAAAAATAGTCGTATTTAAATTATAAATCAGGATTGGCTAATTCTTAAATTTGAGTGATGAACAAAACTCTTAACCCTGTATAGGCTGTTATCTCTGAGTGGGGGGGGGCAGGCCAGGGGAGGGGGGTCATGAAAAAGTTATATGTTAGATATATATGCAAACCTATATATATATTAGTGCAAACCATGCAGATTTACTAAATAAACAAAGCTTGCAAACAAGTTTAATCAGTGTAAACAAAGTTGATGCAAAATATATTTTTGCAGATTTTTTATATATAAAAATTCGATTTTTGATTTTCCGCACAAGTATGAAATATTTTTTTTCCGGTTACATGAATTTCAAAACTTTTTTGTTAATCTCAATATAACTTCAATAAAAAGAATTATGATTTAAAACATAAATAATTCATGGTTTACTTTAGTTTGAAAAGAGCCTTCGTTACCCTAACCCTATCCAGGCATTTAACAAAAAGTTGTAAACTTTTATTTTCATGATCTATTCAATATTTCTTGATCTGTAGAACAAGCTGCAGGGTTTTATTTAATATCAAAGTGCATGCAATACTATATATTTTAACTATTTAGCTCCGAAAAGATAAAATGACAAAAATATTAAATATTATAAAGGGTTTACATATGTATATAAACATTTGCATTGAAATCAAAAGCCGAACATATCATGAAGAAAACGGTTTTATGCTTATCGGCTGGAATCATATACTAGCATTAGCATTCCGAAAAAAGTATTTTCAATTTTAATAAATCATTAAAGAATTAAGGGAAATGTCTACATTTTCTCGCAAAGGCGGAGGGGGGGGGGGGTTGTCTTCTGACTTCGTTCCAGAGGAGTCTCTCTGATATTTTTTGTATTATGGCCTGCATTGTGTTCTAGATTTTGAATCAAAAAGGGAAAATATCCCACCTCATTTTCACTGCATTTTTCTGAAATTTTTCAAAAACTTTGTGTTGGGTCAATGAGGGATGTCTAAAGTAATACACTTAAGGTCAGGAAACTCTATTCTGGACTCTATAAAACGTTTCCTCCTGTCCCTCTACAATCGCCCCCGTCCTTTCCAGCATTTCCCCCCTCCAGATTTGGATCCTGCGTGTTCAGAAGCTGTTCCCTATAATTTAGATTCTCCGTGTTCAGTTGTTGTTCTCTATAATCAAAATCCTCTGTGTACAGAAGTAGTTCTCTACAATCTGATTCTCTGTGTTCAGAAGCTGTTCTCTACAATCTAGATCCTCTGTGTTCAGAATCTGTTCTCTATAATCTAGATCATCTGTAATTAGAAGTGTTCTCTATAATCTAGATCCTCTGTGTTCAGAAACTGTTCTCTATAATCTAGATCATCTTTTCTCAGAAGCTGTTCTCTAGATCCTCTGTGTTCAGAAGCTGTTCTCTATAATCTAGATCCTCTGTGTTCAGAATCTGTTCTCTATAATCTAGATCATCTGTAATTAGAAGTGTTCTCTATAATCTAGATCCTCTGTGTTCAGAAACTGTTCTCTATAATCTAGATCATCTTTTCTCAGAAGCTGTTCTCTAGATCCTCTGTGTTCAGAAGCTGTTCTCTATATTCTAAATCCACTGTTTTCAGGAACTGTTCTCTATAATCTAGATCTTCTGTGCTGAGGAACCGTACTCTGTAATCTAGATCCTCTGTGTTGAGGAACCGTACTTTGTAATCTAGACTCTCTGTGTTGAGGAACCGTACTCTATAATTTAGATCCTCCGTGTTGAGGAACCGTACACTATAATCTAGATCCTCTGTGTTGAGGAACCGTACTCTATAATCTAGATCCTCTGTGTTGAGGAACCGTACTCTATAGTCTAGATCCTCTGTGGATAATAATTATAAGAAAAACATATGTACAAATCATCAACAATGAGGAAGATATTGTCGTTATTTTTCCTTGAAAAACAATTTTTACTTTCTCCATTGTTAATGCTCTTCAAAAACCCACAGAAAACCATGGTTATATTGTACCTTTGTTATTTGAACATGGTTCCTTTCCTTACTAGAGAAATATTACATAGACAGTGAATAAAATAAATCCCAATGATTTAAATTGAATTTCAATGTTTACATATTGATGTATGGGAAAACTTTCCCTTTAGGAGTTTATAACTTTTTAAGGACATGACAATGCTTTTAGAAAATGCGGGATATGTCTTAAAACCCTCGAACTTGACAGCTTCCATCAATTAAACAGATTATATATGTCTAGCTTAGAAAGCAGGAAATTCTATAGACTAAGCGCTCTAGTAGATATATACATATTTGTGCATATACATAAATATGTATTTTGATTAATAGTTTATAAAAAAATAGTCTTGTAAAAACTAGAAAACTGGACAGAATTCTTAAAATAATTTGTATATTTTCTCGATAGAGTGTTGTATATAATAAGTCATTTTAAGTAGCTTGTATAAAAATTATTAGCTCTGTTTGAGAACCCCCCCCCCATATTGATAAAAATGGCCTTATCTTTTTATCTATATAGATTTAAAAAACATAGATTTACTTGTTAAAAAACGCCATAATAACAATTACTGTCTATCTTACCCCCACGAAGGATAGCATGTTTTGAACAAGTTAAGATATTTATTTGTTAAAATTGTTTTGTACATCAAATTGAACTGAAATTTAGATGAGGATGAATGTACGTTTTATAATTGGAGAAGTTACATAATATTCGAATGTTCCTCCCAATTCTGGGCTTTCTCTCTTCTTCTCTATAACATTGCTATTTTCATCTATGCCTCTTTTCTTGTAGATTCAATACAATTTGGGTGGAGCTTATTTTGTAGATTTGTAAACACTTTTCACTACTACTTTCATTTTTACTACAAATAGAAAATTGTCATTAAAAACGTTTTAAAATGAAGTCTACAGTATCCCAATCCACCCCCCGGACTTTGCAACTCTACTAGATCCTGCCTTTCTCCAGCTAGTGTGGCTGGTCACACACAGGACTTCTGCTCTCACTGCTTCACAGCTGATTCAAGCTCTTCAGTGGATCTCAGGCCTGTCCCAGGGTAAGCTAAAGAGGGAAACATTTTGGGGAATTATCTTTTTAAACCTGTTTGGACTTTGGAGAGACATTAAATGATATTTAATTGTGCTTCATCTAAATATTTAGTGACTAATTAGATTAAATTTTTTTTAATCGATGTGGCAAATTAAGCAGTTGATAAAATTTGCTTAAAAAAATATGAAAAGGGGGGTTTGAACAAAAAAACATAATAATTTTGAAAAGCTTGGAGGGGAAAAAACTAAAAGTGAAAGAAAAAGAAAACTATAGTGAAGACTAGCTTTAGTAGGAGAAAAACAATATCAGGGGTAGTGGAAAAAGAATAGAAAAAAGCGGGAGCATAAACATCATGATATCGAAAAAATCTTTGAAAGTAAATTGTATTTCATAAAAAAATAGTTTAGATTAGACTTCATTGAAAACAATTTTAGATAAGTAAAGTATCAAAAATAACATAATTTACAGTTTCTGTTAAAGAATAGTTTCACACACAAATGTACACAAGAAATGTACGTACAGTTTATTGTATAAAACTATGTACATTTCTTACTTTCCTGCTCATCTACCCTGTTTCCCCCTGTTTCCTGCACTTACTTAATAAATTCCCCCAATTCAACCCCCCC